ATAGGAATAAAGTTCAACTGCCGACACTTGAGTTTGAACATAGACCACCAGTGAGCAAACAATGGAGATCCCATTATTGAATTAAGTAGACCATGTGACCATAGAGGAAATGCATATATGAGAAGTAGCATGTAACTAATTGATCGCTATTTCTAGTCTATCCTCTATACTCTACAGATCACTATTTCTCCTCAATCCTCTATCAATATATGGACCATTAATCTCTACTCTATTGATTATAATTATTTCTCTATTCAGATCACTATACAGATAACTATTTGAGCGAGTATTAACAAGCAAGTACTGTTAGTGCGAGTGATATTCGAATGTATCTGACACCAGTATTGTTCAATGGTGTATTATGAGCATTACAAAAGTGACAATGAGTATTCATTGTCACCACAAAAGTAATATTAGTGAAAGTGTTATTCGAAGGTGTCTGAAACCAGCATTGTTCAGTGGTGTACTATAGTTGTATCTGCGATTGCAAAGTCTCTACTACAATGGGAATTACAAAAGTGACAATGTGTATTTGTTGGCATAACAAAGGTGGCAAAGAGTGTTCGCTGATGTCACAAAACTTGAGTTCCTTGATAAAATCCAGAGAAGAATCAGCAATATTATCAGTCTAGATCTGCTGGTTCAGCTTCAGTCACTTTCCCACCGCCATAAGGTTGCCTCCCTGTGCCTTTTCTATAAATACTTTCACGGTAATTGTTCGGATCATCTCTTCGCTATGGTACCTAGACTTTTTTAATTTAAGCGCTGTACTAGACTGGTGTCGAGATCTCATCGATTTACAGCTGAGATGGCCAGATATAACTGTAAATTCTTTTTTTGCACTTATCAGTTGTGAAAATCCCTTCCAGTCTCATGTTTTCCAGCTGACTTTAATCTACAAAAAATTAAATTCAATGTCAATCTCTCTCTACTCTCTTCTGGATTACTCCTTTCTCTTTCTGCTCATTATTAAGGATTCTGTTCCTAATTCTTCCACATCCTGTCACCCATTGTGTCTTTGTGGCTTTACTGCTTTGCATGGGGTGATACTGATTAAGAAAAAGTTATAGATTAGAGATCAAAAGGTGCAACAATTTATATATCTGGGACAGGAAGGTGTAACAATTTACACATCTAGGAAGAAAGCTGCAACAATTTATGTATCTGGGAAGGAAGGTAAAACCAATTTATATATCTGGGAAGGAAGGTGTAACAATTTATATATCTGGGACAGGAAGGTGTAACAATTTATATATCTAGGAAGAAAGGTGCAACAATTTATATACCTGGGACAGGAAGGTGTAACAATTTATATATCTGGGACAGGAAGGTGTAACAATATATATCTGGGACAGGAAGGTGTAACAATTTATATCTGGGACAGGAAGGTGTAACCAATTTATATATCTGGGACAGGAAGGTGTAACAATTTACATATCTCGGAAGAAAGGTGCAACAATTTATATATCTGGGACAGGAAGGTGTAACAATTTATATACCTGGGACAGGAAGGTGTAACAATTTATATATCTGGGACAGGAAGGTGTAACAATTTACATATCTAGGAAGAAAGGTGCAACAATTTATATATCTGGGACAGGAAGGTGTGTAAGGTGTAACGATTTACATATCTCGGAAGAAAAAACAATTTATATATCTAACAATGGACAGGAAGGTGTAACAATTTATATACCTGGGACAGGAAGGTGCAAACAATTTACATATCTGGGACAGGAAGGTGTAACAATTTATATATCTGGGACAGGAAGGTGTAACGATTTACATATCTAGGAAGAAAGGTGCAACAATTTATATATCTGGGACAGGAAGGTGTAACAATTTATATATCTGGGACAGGAAGGTGTAACGATTTACATATCTCGGAAGAAAGGTGCAACAATTTATATATCTGGGACAGGAAGGTGTAACAATTTATATACCTGGGACAGGAAGGTGTAACAATTTATATATCTGGGACAGGAAGGTGTAACGATTTACATATCTAGGAAGAAAGGTGCAACAATTTATATATCTTGGAAGCACAAGTATTTCCTCCAAATTTTAAGATAATAATGATTATATATAATAATAATAATAATAATAATGATTATGATAATAATAATAATGATAATAATAATAATAATAAATCAAAGCTAACAGCACAGACATTATTATTAGAGACCGTAAGCAAAAAAATTGATATGACAGTCCCGACAGACTGCAATGTATCTTTGAAGATCTTCAAAAAACAATCAAAATACAAGGACCTTAAAATCAAAATCTCAAAAATGTAGACACATGACACAGTGGATAAAGGTGTTGGTTAGATCCAGTGACAGGACCCAAAGTGTGTGAGTTCAATACCTGGTTAAGGCAGTGGAGAACTTGGAGAGGGGAATTAACAGGAGATAACTGATAACTGACATCCATTAAACATGGCACATGGAACTAGAACAGTCTACCCCAGTGAGCGAAATAAAGGGTTCAGTTCTACATTCCAACCACCTGAAGAAGGCCGGAGTGTACAACGGCCGAAACATTGTAATAAATATGGCGACAAAGATGAGGACAATAGTCTGAATAATGTAAATAGTGTACATAATACCTAATCTTAGAAATATAGACAGATACTCAAATTAGGTCATTTGCAATGGTGTACAGTAATATGAATCTATTTTGGGGGTGTATGATGAAATCTGTTTGGCTTAGAAAAATATTGCATCATTCGCAATTGCATCTGATTTTTATCACACCCAAACACTATTGTCTTGACTGTTGATTAGTTGTCCTACTTCCATTTTTTGTGATAGACATTACTCCAAGAAAGCATACAAAAATTGTAATACTGCATGAACATACTGGCAAGCCTTACCAGTGAGCAAATCAAAGTACTATAGACTGGCCCGGAAACTCTCCTGATTTAAATCCAGTCTGCAAGGAACAACATCTTGGAATAGACATACGAAGTACTAACATGTACACTGCGTCATTTGTCATTGGAAAAATACAAAAAAAGTAAATAATAACGAAATTATTCGTTTTGTTTTAATTAATTTGCTCAAATGTGTAGCTTCAAGAATCTGTAGTTTTTGTTTATTACTTCCTTGGTGAAGCATACAGGTATTGTCCAGTAATATTCTTCTAAATTGTAAATGTAGACAGGAATATTTTTGTAGATTTTTTTTTTAAGCATTTCACCCCAAGAAAGGCGGGAAGCCACTAGGATGCAAGGGGTTACAAAAAGTTTAGAGCAAGATCAGATAGGAGTGATAGAAGAAAGGATGAGGGTAGTGGATAGATCAAGGCAACTGTAGATGTCGATTGACATTACACTTGAATAGCTGGAGATTATAGCTCACAGGGAAACAGGAATAGGGAAGGGAGTTCCACAGGCGAGTGGTGCGAGACATGAAGCTATTAGAGTAGAAGAGACGGCTACATTTAGGAGTTTCGACAGTGAAGGGGTTAGAGCGGGATGCCAGCCTCGTAAGGCGCTGGAACTCATGACGTCTGGGAACCAGCGAATGCAGCTCCTCGGAGCAATTTCCATGAAAGTATTTGTAGAACAGACATAGGGAGGTGACAGCGCGTCTGTGAGAAAGTGGCTGTAGACGAGACGCCAGGGCAGGGCCAACTACATTGCATATCCGCCTCTGGAGTCTATCAAGAACCCCGAGGCAAACAGAAGGGGCACCAGACCATATATGGCAGCAATACTTCATGCAAGAGCGAATTGTTGATTTGTAGATCTGGAGGATCGACTACGAGGAGAAAAACTTCCTGGCGCGGCTCAGGGAGCCAACTTTCCTTGCGGTGGACGAGGCAATGTTGAGTAATGGATGATAAATCTTTTATGAGTAGAGTGAGCCTTATTCTGAATACAAGCAAGTATATTAAGATTTTATTATATTGTCCTGTGGCATAAGAATCAAATTTTATTGGTATATCAATGATAAGTGAGTCTCACTGGCAAGTGACAAAAATTTATTTTGGCCTTGCAACTGGGCAGCATTCTGGCAAAATGTCCGCTGACATGAAAGTGCATACAAAGTTGTCATCTGGTAGTTTAGCCTATGTTATGTCGCCCCCCCCTCGACCTTATAATAAGATTACTTTAGTTATGGTATTTGACCAGAATAGATATTACACAAAAAATTCACCGCAGGCCATCAAAGGAAGTCAGATGCAGTGTTGGCTTGTGGCTACTCTCGGTTATTGGATGCAGGAGTATGTGAACTCACACATGCATCTGGTATTGCCTGTGTGGGAACAAGAATGTTGACACACAGATATATTAACGACAACCCCCAAAGGTTATTTAGGCAGTCACTAACACACTGCAGACGGAGAATGTAAGTACCACATATCAGAACCCGGGGATCGAAGTCTGTCAGAACACACACATACACGCACGCACGCACGCGCGTGCGCGCGCACACACACACACACACACACACACACACACACACACACACACACACACACACACAGACTGAGATTAACTGACAATGTTGTAGCAATAACTCAGCAGTCACACACGCATATACACATGCACACATACACACCCAGTGTGACTGACAATATATTAGCAACACATATCAGAACCAAGGGCTTGAAGTCTGTCAGAACACACCCATATACAAGCGCGCGGGCGCACGCGCGCACACACACACACACACACACACACACACACACACACACACACACAGAGACTGAGATTAACTGACAATGTTGTAACAATAACTCAGCAGTCACACACGCATACACATATGCACACATACACACCTAGTGTAACTGACGATATATTAGCAACAGTCTCAAAGATGATTTAGGCACTCTCCACACACATCAGGTGGAGAATGTAAGCTCCCCATATCAGAACCAGAGGCTTGGGGTGGGCCAGTACCCTCCACACCTATACACATAAAGAAACACACATATACATGCACAAACTCACTAGACCAAGAGGAATTGCTGATATATTAACAACAATCCCAGAGATGATTAAAGCAGTGCAAGAACCAGGATCTTGTGGGGTGCTCTGGTACACATACACACACACACACACACAGAGATCGAGTGTAAAGGATGATGTAACAGCCCCAAAGATGATTTAAGCAATCTCTCACACATTGCCAAAAGAGAATGTAGGTTCCACATATCAGAATCAGGAGCTTGGGGGCTCTGCTGGTATCTTCTACACATATACAGACACAGAAACACACCTATGCTAATACACACACTCTTTCACACACATACAGAAATACATACACAGAGACACATATGCACATAGACACACACAAACAGACTGAGAGTAACTAATGATATATTAACAATCAGAGATGTTTTTTAGCTGCATTAAAACCAGGGTGTTAGGGACTGAGTGACACACACACATATGCACACACACACATACATACACACACACATGTACACACACATCCCCAAAGATGATTTAGGCACTTTCTACTACATTGCAGAAAGAGAATGTAGGTTCCACCTATCAGAATCAGGGGCTTGGTGGGGTCTGCTGGTACCTTCTACACATATACATACACACAAACACACATGGTAATACACACACTCTCTCACACACATACAGACAAACATACACAGAGACACATATGCACACAGACACACAGAAACAGACCGAGAGTAACTAATGATATATTGACAATCAGAGATGTTTTAGCCGCATTAAAACCAGGGTGTTAGGGACTGATGACACACACATACATGCAAACACACACATACATACACTCACATCCCCAAAGATGATTTAGGCACTCTCTAACACACAGCTAACAGAGAATCTATGTTCAACGTATCAGAACCATGCCAAGAGCGACTGATGAAATATATTGCAGAGAATAAATCTAATTTAATGAAGATTCAAGTTCCATGTTATCTTATAAGATATATTCTTCTTGCTTCCAAGCACAAGGTACCCAGTGAGGATAAAATTCACTACTCACTAGTAATAGTCTGCTAGTTTAGTTTTATATAACCACTACCTAGAACCCAGAATCGAGGCTTAGAAGGATTTGACGTGCGTGGAAAACATGTCTGACATTTCTATTGAAGCTTTTCTTTAGTTTTCCACTGAAAAGGTTTCCGCAAAGGTTCAAAGCAAATATTTACTTTGCTACTTATAAATGTATTCAATCAGATAGATGTTTGGAATTCGTTGTTCATTTTCTTAAACAAATTCTCCTTCGCCAAAGACCGGCGCGTCATTAGAATGAGCGGAACTATTTCTTGGCGGTGAACTCTGTCGTTTTGGTCTTTGGCAACACCCATTAATTAAGTTCTTTCTATCGCACAAACTCATCAGATTACTATGATCTCGTTCCAAGGAATCAATTTCGCTGTCTCTAGAAAGCAACCAAAAGATGCAAGCCATAAAATAAAGCCAAAAAGAAAAGCAAAAAAAAAAAAGAAGAAAATTTATAAATACAAGTTGTAATAAAGACTACATTGACATACTTTTTTTTATTATTATTCTCCCTGTGCACTCACAGATTCAAGACTTTGGTACACATTGTCGGGGTGTGGTCATCTAAAGTTCTGCTAATATTAGAAATTGTACAATTTCTAATTAGAATGACTGCATTGATCTAGAATCATGTTTCGCCTTGAACGTCAGAAAAAAAACTAAATTTGATTTCTTGACTGTGATCTCTTTCTGATTCGACCTCAGAGAGAAAAATACCAAAGGAAGAAACACTTGCCAGGTGGTTAATTAGATTTTAAGTATTAGAAGCACCTGAAGTACAGTTTATAGCCAAGGAATGGTCATATAGATTCTACTTATTTCTTATATTACAGCAACTAATAACAGCTGGTTAAGGAACATTGAGCTTGGTCACTATGGGTGACCGTTTGAGAATAAAAGGTGTTGTAAGCTTGGATAGGCGGATGGTGTGATAGATAATGATTTGGAATTTATGGCCCTTCACATTTTCCTATCCTTTGTAGCCCTTATAAAGGTTTATCTTTTTGTCATCCCTCCCAGTTTTGGTTCTGCTATCTATTTACAAAAATAGTTTGGTTCTGCTATCTATTTACAAAAACACGTCAGATAGATTTTTTTAATTATTTAACACCAAGCATGGCAATAAAGCCACTAAGACAAAAGAGGGTTACTGAGTGTGAAAGAATATCAGAAAATCTTATTATGGTAAGAAAATAATAAAAGAACAGGAAATAAAAAGACAGAAAATAACGATTTACATTGCATTTAAATTATTTTAAAGTTAGAAAGCAAGGTGCCGAAAGAGAGTGCAACAAGCGAGAAGTGGAATTGAAGAAACTGTTAGCATAGAATTTACATTTCTGTGTTTCTTAACTTAACACAGAACAAGCCCATAGTGGTGAAATATGTTAACCATGTTCACCATAGTCTATGAATATAGAATACAGCGCAGTACGTAATCTGTTCAATGAAACAATGTTAAAGATTAATACTCACAAGTCAAACACTCTACTGAATCTGACTATATCGCCAAAACTACCAGCAGCTGTTCTGTAATTCTGTCTTCGATATCAAAGGCTGGCTTTCAGTGAATATTCAGGAAAAACATGGCTGCCTTTATACACGTAGCATTGAATATTTTGTGCCTTCTGATTGGCTAACGCTTCTATTGGTGAACTATAAAATGAGTCAGCTCATTTTGACTAGTTCACTAGTACTACAGGGTACCTAAAAATTCCAGCAAAATATGATACTGGGCTAAAGAGTGATCCAATCTTACAACATGCTAAGAAAAGTGCCCAAATCATCAGGTTATGAAGAGTGGTCAAAGATGACATTGTGCTAAGAAGAGTGGGTAAAGATGATACTTGGCTAATAAGATAAATAAAATATCACAGCAAGTCAAGAAGTGTGATCAAATTTCACTGGGTTAAGATGTGAGTTCAAAGATGATACTGGGCTAAGCAGTGTGGTCAAATTTGACAATGGATTAAGAAGAAGGCTTATATCAGACATTATGCAAAAAAATGTGGTCAAATTTGACACAGATTTAATTAGAAAGCTCAAAGATGATATTGGGCTAAGAAGAGTGATTAAATCTGACAGTAGTTTGAGAAAAGTGATCAAATTGGACACTGGTTTGAGAAGAGTATGTTATAAAATCACTACAAAAATAGCAATTTTGTTTCAACACTCTCTGTGTCTTATCAAGTGATGATGTTGAATGTAAAATAAATGGTTTTAAAAGTTTCGAATTAATTAACAATCCTTCACAAGGGGAAAACGTTGTTACAAAAGCTAGATGGACCAATCAAAATACAAGTATAGGAAAATTCAAAAAGCTTAACATATATATATGTGTATGTGTGTGAGGTGGACATCGAAGTTACCTATGGGTGTTGACTTTGATGTCCGATTTTATATTTACATACACTATTTTAATATATTAAATAATATTATTTTTAATCATTTTTATCTCTGTATATTTGCTCGCTTAAGTTATATTTCAATAAGTGCTGAGCATTTATGTCATGACACGTTCAGTCTTAAATATTTATTGGTTGTTGTATCCGATTGTCTGGCTCAATGTCTGTGGATGTGTGTGCATGTATTTATAATTGTCTATGCGTATGGAAAGTGCATTCACTTTTAATAGTGTATGTATGTACGTGTGCGTTGGTTTTAAACACCCCATCTTTTTTTTTTTTTATACGATCGTGGTGATGTTCTCTGTCTCGTCTCTTTTTGTGTGTGTATATATGTATGTCTGGGTGCTTATATATTATAATCTGATTGCGTTTGTTTTACGCGTGAGTATAGGACCCCATTTACACACTCTTAGGATTAAAATGGAAACATTGTCAAAAGACCGGATATAAAATTAGCTAAAGTAACTTCAATGAAGAAATAAATTGAATAACATATATATTTCTTCTTTTCTCCTCAGTAAACTTAATAGCGATTAAATTTTGATCTTGAAATTAGCAGTTTTTAATTTTAATATTACATTTTACCATATAATTTAGTAATTATTGGTTAGAATAAATTCTTTTTTAATATTACCCCTATTTTAAAGATCTGAATAGCTATTATAACATGACTTCGTTGTCAAGTTTTTGAATTTTCCTATACTTGTATTTTGATTGGTCCATCTAGCTTTTGTAACAACGTTTTCCCCTTGTGAAGGATTGTTAATTAATTCGAAACTTTTAAAACCATTTATTTTACATTCAACATCATCACTTGATAAGACACAGAGAGTGTTGAAACAAAATGGCTATTTTTGCAGTGATTTTATAACATATTTATGTTATAAATTTTTTTTAAATAAATAATTATATATATATATCTATAAATTAATTTAATTTAAATTAAAAAACAGATACCCTTAAGAACTCATTGACTATATTTTATTTCCACAGGAAAGTGATTTTTTCCTGGTTCTTCAGATCACATTTGCAAGAAACATATATATTATAGAAAACATCAAAATTACCCCAACATGGATATAGTCTATTTTAAATGTGTTTATATATATATATATATATATATTAATAAAACAGTCACTTAAACACTAATATTCCATGGTCAGAATTTAAAAAAGATTATTATATCCTAATTGTCCTGCATTGAGTTCTACCTGGATTCTATCCGCTCGAATTTTTATTAAAAAATATACATGTATGATATATATCTTATATTTTGCATATTTGTATATTTATATGTATATATATATATATATATATATATATATATATATATATATATATATATATATATATATATATATATATATATGAATAGGTTAGCTTTTAAAATATATTTTCAATTGAGCACTGTTGAATGACAAGCTAATTCTAAAAAAAAACCCTTATCTGCGTGAATGCGAAGCTCTTCAGTAAAATGAATGGAGTGCGCCAGTTGTTGGCCATTTGTTTACATTTGTAAAAACAATATGCGATATTTTACTGGCTCATTCTGCTAGCTCAGTGGTAGGAACTCTGACTGACACCAAACCAGCTGGGTTTCAATCCTGGCTAGAGGCATTCAGATGTCT